TGAAGTAAATACTGAGAATTACTCTGATTTGTACATGATATCATATTAGGTTACGATTTCTTTCCAACCTAGACCATGTCCTCAATTTCTTCTCTTACATCTCCTTCTTTTACTCCGGAGATCACTTCAAATCTAGAAAATCTTTCTGGTTCTAATACTCAAACAAATTCATCTGGTCTGGTTGTTACATGCCATCGATTGAATGACAACAACTTTCTTAAATGATCCCAATCGGTTAAGATTTTTCTCTTGGGTAGAGAAAGATTGGGCTATGTTATTGGTGAAATCAAGAAGCCTGTTGCGACTGGCACTGTTTTTTTCTAAGTGGATGCATGACTATGGTCAGGTAATGACTTGTCTCCTCAATTCCATGATCTCGAGTATCATCAGAAACTTTTTTCTTACAATTTAGCCGCTAAAATATGGAGTGCAATCCAAGAAACATACTCCAACACTGATAACATTACCGAATTATATCATATTATAGATCAAGAAGACACCCTTAAACAGAGAACCATGTCTGTCACTCTTTACTACAATACCCTAATTGCTCTTTAACAACAATGAAATTTGTATGCACAACATGATTGTGCAGATCCAAGATATGTTACCCTTTTCCAGCAAATTGTAACTCAACGAAGACTTTTTCAATTTCTCCAAGTCTTAAACAAGGAACTGGATGAGGTTCGTGATAGAGTACTGGCTATTTGTCCTCTTCCCTCCCTTTGAGAGGCTTTAGCTAATGACAAGAAGGAAGAAAGGCACATGTGTGATGTTACCTGATGAATCATATTCCACTCCTGAAGGATTTGCCTTAATCACTCATCAATCATCTAATACTTCCAAACGGGGGAGACCTTGGTGTGAACATTGTAAAAAGCCAGGCCACTCCAAAGAGAAGTGTCGGAAGTTTCATGGTAAACCTCAGGACTGGAAGTCCAAGACTTCTCATGATAATAAATCAAGCCTAGTCCCTGCTATATTTGTCACTAGCTTCACCAAAGAACAGATTGCAGAACTTCAAAAACTATTTGAAAAGTTTCAGTGGCCTTGTGAGGGTCATCTGGTCATAAAAGAACCAGAAGGTAACCCTTATCCTACAACTTTTTCTCCTCTCAGTTGACTCCTAATTGGATCTTGATTCTGGTGCTACAGATCATATAAATGGTAACAAGGATTTGTTTTATAATTTTTTCCCAAAATTCGGTAAGGCTGTCAAAACAGCTAATGGTTCCTTGTGCAAAATAGAAGGTCATGACACTGTTTTCTCAATGAACACATGACACTTAAAAATGTTCTCTTTGTACCAACTCTGGCTTACAATATCATTTCAGTTCATAAACTTTCCACCGACTTGCACTGCTATGCAATTTTTACTGATATTGATTGTACTTTGCAGGCACTGAACTCGAAGAAGATGATTGGTAAGACCAACTTTCAGAATGACCTCTACATCATCCCTTCATTTACTACAACCGAGATATCTAAATCGTTCATCGCTTTAGAACAAAATGATATGTTATGCTATGGCACTTTCGTTTAGGCCATCCTAGTTTCCACTATCTTGCAAAATTGTTTCCTGCTCTATTCATTAATAAAAGGCCAACTTCTTTTTCTAGCAAAGTTTTCTCTCTTGCAAAACTTACTAAATCATCTTATTCTCCTTCTAAACACAAACATTCTCACCCTTTTGCCTCGATCTATAGTGATATTTGGGGCCCTTCTCGAGCGAAGAATGTTGATAATTGTAAGTGGTTTATCACTTTCATTGATGATCACAGTAGGATAACTTGGCCTTATTTTCTACAAGATAAATCTGAAACTGCTGGTGTTTTTCCCCATTTTATAACATGGTTCTTACTCAATTTGGAACCAAAATCCAGCTCTTTAAATATGATAATGGCAGTGAATTTTTTACTAAGTCTTTGGGTGATTTTTTTTAGGGAAAAGGGTATAGTTCAGCTTAGTTCTTGTGTTGGAAGCCCACAGCTAAACAGCGTTGCTGAAAGGAAAAATAGACACCTCCTTGAAGTTACCTTCTCTTCTATTTACCACTAATGTTCTAAAATATTTGTGAGGAGAAGCCTTATTAACTGCCACATATTTAATCAACCGAATTCCTAGTAAGATTTTAAACTTTGAAACACCTTAATCTATATTTTTGCAATATTTTCCACATTTTAAACCTATATCCTCCATTTTGCCACTTAAAATCTTTGGCTATACTATTTTTATCCAAAACATTGCTCCTAATAAGTCCAAGTTAGATCCGAAGTCTATAATGTGTGTATTGGTTGGGTATTCTTCACTTAATAAGGGTTATAAATGCTATCATCCTTCATCTAAAAGATTTTTTACCATTATGGATATCACTTTTTATGAGCAGGATCCCTATTTCACTCGGGCTAAATTCAAGGGGAGACATTGAGGGATTTTCAACCACATCAGTTATCTCCTCCTACTCTTCATTCTCAACCTTCAAAATTGCCCCATTTTTGTCTTTACCTACATATTTGTCATATGTAAATACTCCCATTGATTCACCTGTAGTACCTATCACTACTTCACCCACACCTACTTTAAGCACCCTTCATGAAAATGCACTTACTCCTTTCAAAATCTTCACAAATAACAAAAATCAAACAACTTTTTTTCTATACAAGGAGAAGAAAACATATTCCTGAGGCTATTTTGCAATCTGATTCTTACCGAGAATTCAATTGGGTGCAGCTGCCGAAATAGAAGAAGAAATCAGTAAGTCCACTTCCCCTACTCTAGATGACTTCCCTATTGTTATTAGAAAAGGGGTTAGACAGTGCACCAAGCATCCTGTTGAAAAATTTGCTGGTTATAATTCATTGATGCATTCTTTTCAAGCATTTACAACAACCTTGGATAAAGAACATGTTCCCACAAGCATAGATAAAGCTCTAAAGGATTCTAAATGGAGAAGGGCTATTGAAGAGGAAATTTGTGCACTAGAGAAAAATGCTACTTGGATCGTTACAGACCTTCCTCAAGGAAAAAAGGTTGTTTGCTGTAAATGGATTTTTCTGTAAAGTATAACTCCAATGGTAGTATCCAACGATACAAAGCTAGACTAGTGGCCATAGGCTTTGCGCAAACATATGGGATAGATTTCAAAGAAACTTTTTCACCTGTGGTGAAGCTAAATACTATTTGAGTACTCCTAAGTTTGGCTGTAAATTGTGATATGCAATTACACCAACTTTATGTAAAAAAAAGCTTTTCTTAATGGCAAACTAGAAGAAGAAGTCTATATGAAATTGCCACCTGGCTTACAGTCTGTTGAAGGTAGAAACAAGGTTTGCAAGCTCAACAAGTCTCTATATGAATTAAAACAATCACCTATATCTTGGTTCGAGAGGTTCACTAAAGTCATTCTAAAAAACGACTACAAGCAGTTCCTCGCCGATCATACTTTTTTATCAAGGTAACTTCTACAAAATAAGAAAAATATTTATTGTGTACGTGGACAACATAATTATTACCGGAGATGATGAAGAAGAGATTTTTCATTTGAAGAAGTTGTTATATAAGGAATTAAAAACCAAGGACTTGGGAAAGCTAAGGTATTTCCTAGGAATGAAGGTGGAAAGGTCAAAAGAAGGACTTGTGATCAACTAAAGAAAATATGTATTTGGTTTACTCAAAGAAACTTGTTTTCTTGGTTGTAAGTCGATTGATACACCAATGGTGGCAAGCTTAAAATTTAGAAAAGAAGATGGGTCCTTAATAGACAAAGAGAAATTTCAAAGATTAGTTGGGACACTAATTTATTTATCCTTGACAAGGCTTGATACAACTTTTCCCGTAAATGTGATAAGTCAACACATGCCTAATCCTACTGAAGAGCATATGGCATCAACAAATAGAATTCTCAAGTACTTGAAGAAAACTCCAGGACATGACTTAATGTTTAAGAAGACACAAGACATAACTATTAAGATTTTTCAGACTCCAATTGGGTCGGAGATCTTACTGAAAGAAGATCCGCTAGTGGCTACTGCACTTTTGTTTGGGGTAATCTTACAACTTGAAGAAGTAAGAAACAATATGTCGTTTCAAGAAGTAGTGCTGAAGCTGAATTTAGAGCACTAGCATTGGGAATATGCAAAGAAATTTGGCTACTTAAACTACGGAAAGAACTCGACACTAATCAAGAGGACCACTTTGAAGTTTTGTGTGATAATCGATCTGATATTCAAATTGCCAAGAACCCAATTCAACATGATCAGACAAAGATGTTGAGATTGATAGGAATTTTATTGCTGATCAAGTTAACAAAAAGACTCCCACACTTTCATACATTCCTTCAAAAAGACAAATTGCATACATTCTTACTAAGTTTGTGCCAAAGTCTGTTTTCAATAAATTCCTATTCAAGCTGGGATTATACAATGTATATTCTCCAGCTTGAGGGGGAGTGTATGAATTATAAAGATATATGAGTTGTTAAAGGAAGGGATTCTGTAAATAGTTTTCTACAATCCCTTATTTTAAGGGATCATATCTCCTAGGATTAGTATATTTCCTTACTTAGAGTTTCTTAATTTAGAGAGATAATTTGTATATAAAGATGTACCTATTGAAAAGATGAAGTAAATACAGAGAATTACTTTGATTTCTACAAGATCATCCAGGTAAGCCCTTTTGCATTAGTAGATACGCTACTCATTCATCTTCTTTGACCAGGATGACTCCTTGTTTTCTAGATTATATGGAATTCTATAGACTCAAATTGAACTGGAAAAGCTCAACAAGTGGGATGATATGTTTCTTTTCAATAATAAGTTAATATTAACAAACACATAAGATGAGAACAAATCTGCTTGAATTTAGTCCGTTTCATTTTTATGCATATTATGTGCTCATCGTGTTCATTGTTTTCATTATTTTGAATGAGGTTTTGGGAGTTGCCAGAGGCCAAAGCTAAAAGTATTTTGCACCCATTATTAATGTCAAGGTTTTGTAAAACTTGCAGGTTTTCTTAGGTCAGAGTGGGGGCCTTGATGCGGAGGGTAATGAGCTGCCAAGGCTAGTTTATGTTTCTCGTGAAAAGCGTCCAGGCTTCCAACACCACAAAAAGGGCTGGTGCTATGAATGCCCTTGTGAGTTGCTTTTTAGATCTCTTGTTATATTTTACTACTTCTTGTTATCTATCTTTTGTAACCTAGTGAATCTTCTTTCAGGTTCGAGTGTCAGCTGTTCTTACTAATGAACCTTTCTTGTTGAATCTTGATTGTGATCACTACATAAATAATAGCAAGGCCTTAAGAGATGCTATGTGTTTTCTGATGGATCCAAACCTTGGGAAGTAAGTTTGTTATGTTCAATTTCCACAAATGTTTGATGGTATTGATCGATACGCTAACAGAAATACTGTTTTCTTTGATGTAAGCTCCTTATCATTTACCAAGAAAAATAATTGCATCATGTAATGATGTTATTGCTGATGTAGAATGAACGACGCATGTCAGTTTTCATCAAACATACTGGCTATTGAAATCCTTTTGAGACATATATTTTTGTGAAATTCCAGATAAACTTGAGGGGTCTGGATGGCATTCAAGGGCCTGTTTATGTTGGTTCGGGACGTGCCTTCAATAGAACATGATTGTACGGATATGAACCTCCCCTTAAGCCCAAGTATAGAAAAGCAGGGCTGCTATCTTCACTGTGTGGAGGTTCTCGTAAAAAGAATTCAAAATCAAGTAAAAAGGGATCAGACAAGAATAAATCTGGCAAGCATGTTGATTCTAGTGTACCAATATTCAATCTAGAGGATATAGAAGAGGGTGTTGAAGGTAAAAAACTATTTGCTTTCTTGTCTTGAACTCAACTGTCATTATTACTTGATGCCTTCTGTTCTAACGAGGAAAAGTTTCTTCATTGTCCTCCATTGTGCATTTTTGAAATCAGGGGCTGGGTTTGATGACGAAAAGTCACTACTAATGTCACAAATGAGCCTGAGCAACGTTTGGTCAGTCTGCCGTTTTTTTAGCCTCTACACTTATGGAGAATGGCGGTGTCCCTCAGCCTGCTACCCCCGAAACACTTCTTAAAGAAGCAAGTCATGTTATCAGCTGTGGATACGAGGAAAAACAGACTGGGGAAGTGAGGTATGTTGCTTTATGTTCCTCCCATGTTTTTCTCTGACCATGAAGTGTTTTGTTTCTCTGTCCTTAAAACCTGTGACTCCACGTCATGAAAAAATTGATTACTGAATTTGACGGCCATTGAATTTTAGTTAGCAAAGTACTGAAATTATTTAAAATTGTTTCTTTTTGGGCGTTAGAAGATGAAAGGAATTAGAGCATAGTCTATCGAACTATAAATTGCATCTAGGACTCTACATATGTCAAACCTGTTTGAGTTGGAAGAAACATATATCTGTTCCTGGGAAGTTGCAAAAAATGCTTGCTTTTATTCCATTTAAATATCATTTTTTGTTGCTTGTGCAGGATGATTTCTTATCCTCTGCATTTTTACCTCCCTTCCATCTGCCATAAATTTCCTTGTTTTCTTTTGCCTGCAGATTGGGTGGATCTATGGTTCTGTTACAGAAGATATTCTTACTGGATTCAAAATGCACGCCCGTGGTTGGCGTTCAATTTACTGCATGCCAAAACGCCCACCCTTTAAAGGTTCTGCTCCTATTAATCTGTCCGATCGTCTGAACCAAGTGCTTCAATGGGCTCTTGGTTCTGTGGAAATTCTTTTCAGTAGGTATTGCCCTATCTGGTATGGTTATAAGGGTAGGCTCAAGTGGCTTGAGCGGATGTTAACACTACCATCTACCCAATCACTGCTATTCCTCTTTTCATGTACTGCACACTGCCAGCAGTCTGTCTGCTCACTAACAAGTTCATTATCCCACAGGTTAGTCTATCTGGAATTAATATTTTCTAATTGGCATCGATTTATTTATTTATTTATTGTTTCGTTGTTATAGGAGAGTTAGTGGGGGTTGTTGCAGGGATCTCATATGCCATCAATAGTGGCTACCAATCATGGGTCCCCTCTCTGGTAAGCTATTCTATGCCTTCTGGGTGATCATCCATCTCTACCCCTTCTTGAAAGGTTTGATGGGACGCCAAAACCGAACACCCACCATCGTTGTAGTACGGTCAATTCTGCTTGCCTCCATTTTCTCTTTGTTGTGGGTGCGTATCGATCCCTTTACGACAAGAGTTACTGTGCCGGATGTACAAGAGTGTGGAATAAACTGTTTAAAGGAAGGCTTGTTTTCGTGTCACTAAGCTGCAAAGGGCAAAGGTTTGTTTAGTTGTAATTTTGTGTATTTCAATTCACAGTGTGCAGAATATAAGGCATTTGATTTTACTTTAATGTAATTGTGAAGTAGATATATGTTGTGGGTTTAAAAGCAAACGTCAAATGTTGAGTTTATTCTTTTATAGAACAAAGCTGCTCCACTGAGTGAGAGATGATAACATGTTTAATTGTAAAATTAGAAAATGATTTCTAAAAAATAAAAATAAAAGTATGTAAAAATATGAAAACATAACAAGGATGTTTTTAAATTTTTATTAAAATTATTTTAGAAATTTGAAAAATAAGAAAACATGATATTTAGATTTTTAATTTAAGGTTAACTACGTGAAAAATCACTTACGTTTATGTTTTGTTCACTTTTGGTCATTGATTTCAAAAATCATAAGATATGATCACTTTTGTTCTAATTTAATTAAGATGTGGTCACCCCGAGTTAATTGTTGTTAACAATAGTTAAATATTTTGATATAATAATACATTTGGTCCATGTTATAGACATATTCTCTCAATTTAGTACTACTTTTAATAAATTAAAATAAATTTAATTATATTTTACAACACAGAATTGACTTAAAAAATTTCGAGTCGAGTCAATTTTTGAGTTTCTTCTTAAATTTAATTATAAATATTTATAATATTATGATATTATTTGATTCTAATTTAAATGATCTTTTATAACCATATATAACACATGTGTACTTCTTCATATTTTTTTCATATGTGATAAGCATTTATGATACAAAGTCGAGAGGCTCAACTCAAACTTGAAAATCAATTCATTAATTACTAAATTTTTGAGTTATTCGAGTTGTATTTTACAACTCGATTTGAACTTGATTTTTTTTGAGTTGAGTCATGTTTATGAAATTACAACTCGAAGTTAATTCGAGTGAAGTTTTCAAGAGTCAAGTAAAAAAATGGTTTTTCTAGTCGAGTTGAATTTGCTTACCCCTAATGCCAAGTGTCACCATTCGGTTGGAGGATTAACTTTCATTAACCCCACTCGACTCGAAAAAATTTCAAGTTCAAATCGAGCTAGTACTAATATTATCATTTATCAACCATTTCTAAAATTTGTGTGGTTTGCGTACTCATTACTACTATAAAGACCTATTTCCTTATGATGTAGTTCTTATATTTATACCCATATATTTCCCATAAGGAAATTCATAAATATAGTATGAATTTCTTATCCTTTAGCACACAAGGTGCCCAATACAGAAATTCATACACTTAGTATGAATTTCTTATCATGTTAGAACACGAAGTGCCCTATACGGAAATTCATACACTTAGTATGAATTTCTTAACATTTGCACACAAAGTGTCATTTGGTAATCACCATACTTACATTAATCATTTCTACAACTATAACTATTGTAGCATGTACGTACATAAATAAATGCACTCACCTGACTATCCTTGCTATGTATCCAAAAGGTAAGACTGATTATTCTGTTACTCTACCTTTACCCTTAGTTTTGCTTGATTTGGGAGTTTGGTTCCGATCTTGTGGAGCTATAGAGGAGAGAAAACCACAGAAGAAGAAGAAGAAGAGAAAATAAGTGTTTTCACTTTCCTCTTTTTCTTCTTAAATCCTTAATTTAATTTCATTTCACCTAAAAGATCAAAATGCCCTTTCAATAAACTATCTCTTACAAATTGGTCTTACTTAAGTCATTTCTTATTCTTTACCGATTACTCAATTTAATCCTCCAAACTATAATTCCTTTCAAATTAGTCATTGACCTACTATTTGGGGTATTACAATTTTCCCCTTAAGAAAATTCATCCTCGAATTTAAAGACTTTATGCGTTTACCACAATACTATGACATCTGTCTAACCTGGCCTCCAAAAGTCCTTAATTCTTCAATTTTTACTTATAACATCCTTATTCAGAAATTTTTTTCATCTTTCTTTTGTGATATAATCAATGATCACCTCATACACCTTTAGAGATTATGAACGTCTTTTCTGTCTCATGATCACTCATTATACCGATAATGACGTCAAATTTTTTGAGGCACACGTAGATAATTCCTCTTTATTCTTGTGATACTAAATCATAGAAACATGTTCAATACTATAATAAACAATTATCTTGAATTCCATCTCTCAATCTAGAGGTAACTCAAGATATTGATCTAAAAAGACATCTCTAATTTCCCAATTTGATGAAATTATCAGACAATCCTATTTTTCTTATTTGAGTATCTATTACATTACCCAAACATCAATCTTTTCACAATCATTATCAATGTCACTTTCAACAATGATCTTATCTCATCAATTTGTAATTCCATAAGATTCACCCAGAACATAGTCCCTGGAATCTTTATTAATTGTCTACTACCTTTCTACTCACACTTTTACCATAACCCAATACAGGTTCATGCAAAGATGAAAAGTACCAGTTAAAATTTCCAGATCATCCCGATCCTTATTGGTTGTAATATTATAGATTCTGGCGACTCCCCGAGTCTCTTGTCACTCCAGTGATTTATCTCGCCCTCTTGATCTTCCACTTCCTCTGTTTCTATTAGAGGTTTCCTTCAGATTGCATTAAATTGTCCCCAAATTGCTTTGGACAATTTTAGGCAAAGTGATCGGTCTCACCACATTGGAAGCAAGCTCCACTAAGAAGTCTGCATACTCCCCGGTGCACTCTTCCACATGTCTGACATACTATTCTTTTTCAAACTGCTCTACTTGAGATAGCAGCAACCGATTGAGATCGTTTTGTTTTCTGTGAAATTACTGCTAAACCCTCTTTTTCAGAATATCTCGAACTTGAGTCATTGCCTCTCTTAACCTAATGGGAGTTGAAGGCATTCCAACTCTTTTCCCCATCTGAAAACTATGTTCCACTGCTAATGTCTCTTCTTGTACTCTCTCGATAGCTTTGGTTCGATTAATAACTTCTTGCAAATTAGGCAAACTCAAAGCCAACATCATTTCTTTTAATTTTGGAACTACTTTTGTAGAAAAATGGCTCAACTTATTATATTCAGTCTCATACTCATGTACTACTCGATCA